CAATTAAATAAAAAGTCTTACCTTCGTAAGAAGGAGAGAAGAAGTAATACAAACTTTTCCACGCATGTTGTACAAATCATGTGATGTAATTACCTCTAATATCTCTGAAACCATCACGGAGGACGATAGTCCGACAAATGACGCTCCAACAACTGTGCATTTCAAGCCAAATGTCAAAAATGCCAGTTTTTGCGTCACGAGTATATATACAGTAAATATGCTATTTTCTCAGGACACTATTTGAGCCCCGGCATGTTAGGTACCGTTGGAAAGGTCTTGGCCCAAATAGTCGGAAATACCATATCCCCCATGCCTAAAGTGTGGTCTAGACAAAAATCTAGTGGTTTCAAAATTTCGATAAATTTTCAATTCTATATCCATATCATACAAAAGGGGTACCCAGGGGTACCCAGCGTATTACGAAGTTTGGAGCTGAAAAAGGCTCACGAAAGACCATATCCGCTCAATTTTTGACTTACAATCGATTAAAAATGGTCACAATGCGATCTGAGGGCATTTTATGGTCGAAAAATAGGTCGGATTTAAGTGAATTTTTCAACTTGCTCTATTTTCACTGAAAATGATGTTTTTGTTCGGAAAACACGACATTTTGGTCTTAAAAAACTGCTATTTTTTCGTGAAAATAATGGGAGTCCACGAACACTTGAATATCCATTTCGTTGTCATTTTGGTCATAAATCGGCATTTTGGCATCTGAATTAGTGTTGGCCTTCGAACACATTCGAACACTTGACCGTTCGTCAACATAAAAAGAAACTGTTTTGTTCGTTCGGAAAGTTGAAAAAAAAAATTTTTGTTCGTTCGTGAAATTGAAAAAAAAAATTTTGTTCGTTCGTTCGGATAATATGCTACGGTCGAACATGTTCGATTTTATTGAATCAAAATATTGGGAAATTTCTGTTTTATGCAAAACTATTCATCATGATATCAGTCATTTTGAGTGGTAAATCCACGCACGGAGCGTCACTCCATTTTAACCTCGTCTAACCGAAGGCGCTCGAGCGCTTTTTTTATAAATTAAAAATTTTCAATGTTCTTGAATGAAGCGTGAGAGCGCCGAAGGCGCTCGAGCGCCGTTTTTCATTCAAATTTGGAACACAAGGGCGCCGAAAAATATTCAAGGGCGTCAATGGGAAGCAATTATTTATTTTAAAATAGAGAATATATTATTTTAAAATAAAGAATCGCTTTATTGATTGTTTTCGTCGCCCCTGCCTTTTTCGGTGCCGTTGAGTTTCAAACTGAGAAGACGAATGCATTTAAAAGAGCGCTCGATAAAGTTTAATGGTATGAGTTTTGATTCGAACAAGTGGCAATTAAAACAGCGTCCGAAAAAAAATGCTAAACAAAACGAAACCCAGTTTTTTTTCATACGGAGCTATTGAACTCTATGTAGAAAAAACTATGTGTTGCATTCAATACAGCGACCAATTCAGTACGATGTTTTTATTCTCGGCGAATCATTTGTGCATACGTAAGTAAAAATATTGTTATTGAATGTGTCGCTCATCGACCAGCGGTCGTAATGCCATTACTGCTATTTAAGCACACTAGCATATGAAAACATCAGCCGCACAGCGAAAATGTAAAAAAAAAATTGGGTAAGTGTTTACATGAAATTGAATTATGACGAATCGCCGCGCTATTGTCGCGCTGTCAACTCTCTCAAATGCATCACTTGTCACATTGTTTTTCTGACTCTATGCATTAACAAATTTCGTTCAAAAATTATTCATTTAAAATTCAAATAAATTCGAGTCTTTATTTTTCTCTGCCAAAATGAATTTCGGCAAAAAGCATTTGATTCCAGCAAAAGCAAAAACACCGAAACCGTTATGCACAACGCGATGGTCAAGCCGAATCAACGCAATCAAACCGCTGTGTAAAAACTCTGGTGAAATTATTGCTGCACTGAGGGAAATCGAAGATACTGAGAGCTTCAACAAAGATGTCCGATTTGAAGCGGGAACACTCGCCGACAAAATTGATTTTATTTTCATTTGCTGTACTTGCTTTTGGTATGACATTTTGAGCCACACAAACATAGCGTCCAAAGCATTACAAACAATTCAGTCAAATGTTCAAACGGCTCTGACATCTCTTGAAAGTGTGATGAATTTTCTTGAAAGTTATAAAGAAAATGGCTGCGAAAAGGTTCTCAATGAAGCAACGGAAATTTGCGAACGCATTTCGATTGAAGTTGAATTTGATCATCAAAAACGTCGAGCGGCTAGAACAACTGTTACAAATGCAGAGGAATTTGAAACAAAAGTTTTCTTACCAATCATTGAATCCGCAACTGATTCAGTCACTGATCGTTTCAAAGCACTAAAGCAACACAGCGAATTATTCTCGTTTCTTTATGATTTTGAAAACTATGAAGCAAACCGAAACAACGGTAGTTTACAGAAATCATGCAAGAAACTAGAAATTGCTTTAACTCATGATGGAAAATCCGATATCGATGGTGGCGATTTATTTGTAGAACTTTCATTGGTTTCAAGTTTGGTTAATCAGGATAATATTATTCACGCAATCGATATACTGAATTCAGAAGCGAAAAATGGAAAACTTAGTTCCAAATGCTGTTATTGCGCTTCGCATTCTGCTGACGATCCCAGTTTCTGTTTCAACGGGAGAGCGATCGTTTTCAAAGCTAAAGTTAACTAAAACTTATCTCAGAAATGCAATAGGTCAAGACAGGCTCAATCATCTGGCAATCATATCGATAGAAAGCGATCAAATTCGATTCAATATGACGACGTGATTGAAGAATTTGCCACTTCAAAAGCGAGAAAAAAGACATTTCTTTAAGTCATTTTAATGTATCATTTTTTTGTTGCTTTTCAAATAAACTTGGATCAAATGTATCATTTTTGAGATTTTTTCACACACTTTTAAAAATTCCAGTTTGAAAGGGCACCAACGGATTTTGAACCAGGGCGCCAGCGAAGCTAGAAATGGCTCTGTCCACTACCATTGAAAAAGTCTCAATTTCCTCAATTTGCACATTATAAAATGCGGTAAAATATGATTAAATTTCAAAATAACCATAAAAAGAGTGTTGTAACGATTGTGGATTCTCATTATTTCATTAAAAAAAATTAGTTCCCAACCACCAAAGATCTGGAAAGTGCATTTTTTTATGTATCCCCCCAACAAAAGTTCAATTTCATACATTCAGATGCCAAAATGCCGATTTATGACCAAAATGACAACGAAATGGATATTCAAGTGTTCGTGTACTCCCATTATTTTCACGGAAAAATTGCAGTTTTCTAAGACAAAACGACGTCAGAGGTGTATTTCACGTGTTTTCCGAACAAAAATGTCGTTTTCAGTAAAAATAGAGCAAGTTGAAAAATTCACTTCAAACCGACCTTTTTTTCGACCATGAAATGGCCTCAGATCGCATTGTGACCACTTTTAATCGATTGCTCGTCGAAAATTGAGCGGATATGGTCTTTCGTGAGCCTTTTTCAGCCAGTAGATGCGTATTTTTGGCAGCAATTTCATCGTAGAATGCGACTCTTCATACAAATTCCGTTCATTGATCAATTGCCTATGCCCAGAACTTTGCAATACGAATTTTCCCGGATATGTGGCATATGCCATTTTATCAGTATGGTAACCGGCTACAAACGCTCAGTTTTTGGTAAAAGATTGTCGGGCTGATTTTTGAGAAATCGCGTTTGGTGTGAAATTTAAGGGGGTCGATTTTTCATAAAAATCGACTTTTTTCTTTTATATCACATAAACATTGGCATGTGTGTATGGAACTTTTTGAAGGTCTTCTCAAATGATAACGAGCTGACTTTGCCCGATGGGCGTCTGAGTTGATCTAGTGTGCGAAATAAAAACTTGAAAAAATCGTATACATGCAGGCTAGTGAAGCCATAGCCAGCTCTCCTGTAATGCAAATGTGAATCTGAGGACGGGTTTCGATGTGGCCCGACACCAGCTACAACTTGGGCATATCGACACCAGAATCTGTGAGGTTCAAAAAAGTTTCCGGACAAACGGGGACACGCACATCCAAATCAATACTTCCATAGAAAAACATGGTTAAACTGCCAATGCCCATAACTTTTTCGTTTTTGGACCAATCGGAGCGCTTGGACCGGCGTTGGAAAGGTGGCGAGGAGAAGCTTCTCTTGAGGCATGAGGGATATGGTGTTTCCGACTATTTGGGCCAAGACCTTTCCAACGGTACCCAACATGCCGGGGCCCAAATAGTGTCCTGAGAAAATAGCATACTTACTCTATATATATACTCGTGACGCAAAAACTGACATTTTTGATATTTGGCTTGAAATGCACAGTCTATGTAGCGTCACTTGTCGGACTATCGTCCTCCGTGATAAACTACAGTTGCAATGAAATTACTTCCTTTTATCGCCAAGAAGTTGGACAAACTAGCGTTGTTTTACGCAACCAATTTTCAAGCTATTTATTTAATTTGGTCAATGCGATGTTTGTTTGTGATGTATGTGAGCGCGACATATGGTCTCCTCCGCAGGTCAATTATCCAGTAAATTACTCCGTAGAAATCATTTAGTGAACAAGCTATATATGTGTGATGGCTTGTGTTATGATTGTAATTTTCGCCATAAAAGGAGATGAAATGATTTCGTGAGTTGGAAGAATTTTCAATGTTGTGTGGATCATTCTAGTATATTTCATATACAGGGTGCTAGCAAAATCCGTGCAAATTTTTTAACAACGTATTCCTAGAGTCAGAATCTATCCAAAATGTGAGAGGAACTTTTCCGGAATTGCTTGATATTGAAGTTTTGGTCACCGCTTCATTTTTGATCGCAAATTCCAACTATGGCAAGGTATTCAGGCCTGTGGCAATTGTCGGTCGCAGCATATGCGTTTTTAATCAGTTTCAATTGTAGGGAAATTGGACCAAAATTGCTCTCGAGGCCAAATCTTTATAGGCCGAATTCAGAAATTAGCTTTCAACATTTTTATAGGTCTTTATCCAGTAATATAATGTTGAAATAAACGGAGCATACGAACATCCTGTATACATACAATACATATTATTGCTTGGATGAAGAAACCACCCGGTTTTATTCCCCTCTCTCTTTCAATAATAAAATGGGTCATTTCCGTTTTTGGCTACTGTTATTGCTGTTCATTGTCGTTCAATTCTCTGAATAATTCAGTTAATCTTGTTTATTTCGACAATTTAGCTTATAAGGCATTCATATCATTCGATATGTTTTCAGTAGAAATTGTGTTTTGAAACTATTTAGACGTGCACAGGAGAAATGAAGCTGCTATTACTTATAGTTTTAATCTGCATTGGCTTGAACTATGTTAGTTCACAACAACAAGAGCAACCACAAGAGCAGCAGCAAGAGCTAGAACAACGACAAGAGCAAGAGCAACGGTGGAGAGAACACATAAAGAACTTAGAAGAACAAGAGCAAGAACGTCAGCGGCAACAACGACAACGGGAATCAGAAGAACGGGCGCGAAGAGAAGAAGAACAAAGACGACTACAAGCCCAACGACGACCTGGTCTGCTACTTGCCAAACGTTAAAAGAAGCTCTAAGTTACCATTGAACTTGTAATATTTATTGTTAATTATGTTATGATTTGTATGATCGAATTTTGGAAGCAGGTTTATTTTGAGTTAGTGCCAGAATAATTTTCCAAAGTGGTTACTTTTATTACTAACCATAGCTGGTGAGAAGTCAATTTTTTAAATGTAACGTACGTAGAACAAAAGCTAAAAGATTTGGCATCAAATATTTGTGATTGTAAGCAGCTTTGTGTTGAAGATTTTTATTATTTTTTTCAATCTAAAAATAATATTCAGTGTCTGCGTGCTCAACTAGTTTGATGCATGTCACATACAATTTCACGCCATAAAATCATCAAAATAATATGAGCTTTTTAATTTTCATTGTCAATAATTTACTGCAGTATAGTTTGTCTAGTATTTCTGGATAAAGACCTGTTCCGTTACATAAATTTCATTCCAAATCTTGGTACATTACATAAACGGTATTACTTCATATAAATCACAATTACAACACAATATGTTACAGTTCGGTGTTTGAATAAAACAGAAAACCATCTTGGCAGCAGTTTTTTTTATTCAATTTTCATCATTTTAGAGTTGAAACTTCTTATTTTCAGCAGCAAAAGTAAGGTTTATTGCATGACGTATTGAGGAATTAATGAAATGAGGTAAGTATAAATGAAAGTATTGAAAAAATTAAAACCCATTGACATGTTTGTGTATATTTGATAATGGTTCTAGAACAAAATTTCCGGCATGATCACAAAATAAGCTACAATCTGAGAAGTGTGCTTCTTGTTAAAGTGAGGTGTTGGCTTCGAACGTTCTTTCGTTCGACATGATTAAAAAAAATCATTTTGTTCGTTCGTTCGTTCGAAAATGTTTTGTTAGTTGTTCGGTCCAAACAACATTAAATTTTGTTCCCGTCATTAAATGGGAATATTGGAAGGAAACCTGCTAACATCATATTTTTGACTTATTTCTTTGTTTGATTCAAAGGTTTTTTTCGTCTGTGTATGGTTTATCCCGGTTTGCGATGACATTTAGAGGTTATGTTTTCTGTGTGTACGAAACAAAAATAAAGCAATCCATTAAAGTGGAAAATGAAATCCGTAAGGCTGAAACATGGTATGTCCCGTTTGAAGTATTTTGCTTTGCAGTATTCCGTTTTGGTAGATTTTTTGTCTGCAGTTTCGTTTTGAATTTGATTTTTGCAACTGCATCAAAAGATGAAAAATGCATCTGTGGCACAGGTTCGTATTCGAAAATGGTAAAGTCATAATAAAAACTGGTGAAGTTACATTTATCGCGTGCAAAAGAGATGGATTAAAGGAGAAAGAATTAAAGATTTTATAAATTGAAGAACTTACAAATGCAAAGTTCGTTTCTTTTCGGTTTTGCTGATAAAAAGTAACGAAATGATTGACAATGAAAGTTCCATTTCATATCTCAATGTCTTATCTTGCTTACCATATCGGTGTTTCAGAATTTTTCCCGCAAAATTCCACCTGAGTTCGCTAGTTGGGCTAAAATGATAGCGATTGGTACAAATGAAACTTCCTCCAATTCACATGAGGTAGGCCGCAAGGACCCCCAAAGTACAAAAAATCGGCGATTTCATCAAACACTTAAACATAGCAACAGCACAAGCACATACCGAAATTAAAAATATCATCGAATAATGCTATCTGTCATTGAACATATTTTTAATTACCATGAATTTTTTTTTTCCAAAATCGAAAGTATTATTTTTTTCTACAAATCTTTGAGTTAAATTAGACTGCGATGACTCACACTACTGGAATTATAATCTCAACGCTTTTGCTTCCTCAACCGTATCAGGAAGTTTTTTCGAAAACGTCTCTGGGCAGAGGAGCACGAGGAAAGCTGCAAGTATTGCCGAAGCCCCGAACAAAATCGATGGAAGTGAACCATGTTGTGCTAACTAAAGGTGTAAAAAGAATGCAAAGAACGTTAAAAAAAATACACAAAGAAGAAAAAAAACGAATAATTGAAGTCATACCAAAACAATGCTGGGTGCCAGCATTGATCCTATTCTCCCAATCATGGAACAGGCATTGATTATTGTCGTTCTCACATTTGTCGGCCACTGTTCGGCAGTAAATACGTACAATGAATTGAATGCAAGTGTTATTGTGCATTTTCCTAACATAAATAATAGAAGAATGACTGTCGAGTTTTCTGCTGGTATCAATGATGTTACGATTGTGGAAAATGCAGTCACACTGAGTGCACCGAACAACAATATCCTACGATTTATCCGATTTAACAAGGGCAATGCAATCAACAATCCTGGAATCTCAATAGCCACAACAAATATAAAACTTGTGTAACGATTTTCGCCCGGCAACTGTGTTGCAATCAAACTAAGGCCATAATAGCAAAAACAACAATTCATCCATTGGTAACAGTTGTTCAAGAAACGAAAGAACAATACTTTCGATTTGAAAATTGATTTCAGTGACTGGGCAATTGAATTACTTTCGGTAGTCTCTCCGTCAGATGGATTTGGTTTATATGTCATTTTGATCATTTCGATGGATTTGTCGGACAATGTTTTACCATTGACACGAGCCGTTCGCTTCAAAATTTGTATTGCACGCTCAACACGCCCGCTTACCAGAAGCCATCGAACACTTTCTGGAACGATGTAAAAGTATACCACCAAAAATAGTCCAGGTGTGTAAAGAATTCGTATTACGGTACGAAAATCGTGAACGTACATGGCAACAAGGCCCAAGAGAATCTCGCCCACTGGAAACGAAATGGCTACGATTACGCTTCCCAGCACTCTTTTCCTTGAATTCACCCATTCGAGAGCCAGTACATACATTCCTGCAAAGCAACTCGTTCCCATAGATTCGAAGAACTCAAGCTGCACGAGAATGATTCGAGTGGAAAATGTCAATCAATGTATATACAGTTCATGTGGAAGTAGAAGATAATGCAAGTACTCACACATATATACATCAAATAGTTTGTTGAGAAAGACTTAATCAGACCAAACAAACTGCCACACGTCATACCAATAATAACCACGGTCAAACGGCCATATCTTCCAAAATAAATGATTGAGATTTATTGCATTATTCAAACCAACACCAATACTGTATACTGTGCTCTGTACACTTACTTGTCTGATAAAAGTCCATTCAATGGGAGAAATACAAAACGCCCGATGTTATTTACAGTTCCGACCAAAGCCAACTTGTAGCTGTCAGCACAATGGATATTAAGCTGCAAGATTAATTGACAAATTGCCCATGATATCAAAAAAAAAACTGCGATACAATTTTACCATACCTCTGTTTGTACATTTCTTTCGTCGGTTGCATAGATAAATTCTGAACATTTGACAATTAAGCTCTTATTAAACATATCTGGGCCACATTTTGCAAGCGATGATTCCGTGCTGCTATTCCTATCCAGCGATGCATACCGAACACAATTTTCCATTTTTCCATTTGAATTTTCAATTGTGGGAATAGCATTTCGCAGCCATGGTTGATCGTATGCAATTTCACGGCTATTCTCACCAACATCGCATTCAGGAATTTTGCATCTGTTCAAAGAAATGGAGAAACACTGAATTTGCAGTCGATCATGATTTTTGAGTGTTTGTTTTTTCAAGTTATTTTTGAATTGATCCTCACCGATATATTAAGGTATTGGCTGATACCATATAATTAACTACGTATGTCGCACTTAATGCACTAGGAATGCAAATTAACATGTAAGTGATAACTTGAAATAAACCAAATTCACCCACTTCGGTGAGTACTGCATCCAAGTTTGAATTTGCACTCATGTTGAAACAACCTCGATTTAAAAATCACGACCTCGATGAATTAATCTTTCTAGCGTCTCTTGAACAGTCAGCGCAAAAACTATAATCCAGCTTAGAATATGTTTCTGTGATGATCTTATCGCAACCATGGCCAAACCACATTTGAATGACTCGTGCAAATGAAAAAGTAAAACGAGAATATCTTTGTGACGGCATGGTCTTAAATATCTTCGAGCTATAATAATCGAAATTTACTGTTTCTTTTCATTTTTCCGGTTGGTGATATTGTATTTAGTCCATGTAGATAAGTAGGCTAAATGGAAAAAAAACACATGACTCTGTTCTACGTTATATTGAATAATGTCTTAATTCAATTGAATCGTTCCGACTGGTAATCGTAGGTAGGAAACATTTGAACAACCGAACAAATACAATGCTCTGTTTGATTGTGTTCTTTTCACATGTGAAGAATAATTTGCCAATTGATAAAAGCCAATTCTCAAGATTTTTGGATGATTTCAATTAGATCATTTGTTTTGTGTTGTTCGTTCATTTTTTTCTCTTATCTATTATTATTTCTCATGAGTGTGTATTTCATACTAAAATATAACCGATTCATACCAAAAACATACAAAATCCGTACTAAAAATGATTTTTTCACTATTTGTTGTTCACTTTCGCCATTTTCCTTCTTTCATTGAATGTTTTCAAAAAGGAAAATTAAAAGAAGTAATTTGAAATCAACCAAAATGGAATGAATGCAACGGATAGTTGAAAAAGATTTACAAATCTGGCTCCAAATTTGGCTTGGTTTCGGTTTTTGACGAAAAAATAAGATTCTCAATGTTATATGACCTTTGGATCTTCGGAACATGATTATTAGATTTCGTTTAATTTTGATTTTTCTCGATTTTTTGCCGTTCGCCAGCGCTTAAGTACAGCTGTTTCTTATTTGTTAGTGGTCAGACAGCAATCAACTTTGGGTCTAAATGGTTCAAAATTGATACAATTTTACGATAAAAAAAATAAAATCTGCCAGATTATTACGAATTCACAGAGAAGCAAACATGAAAAATGTAGCTAAATCTGAGATTTTTCAATAATGTTTCTACACTTTTCCGGTCCATAGATTTTGGACTACTGAATCGATTTCAATTTTCTATGGCGCGTTTGAAAGCTATGGCTATCTTGTTTTAAGAACCATCGTACTTTTGATGCTGCACTGCCTACTGTAAATTTTACAGTCTTTGATGTTGAAAAATTCTTGGTCAAAACCAGTAATTTCACATATAGATTAATTTCTAAAGAATACGAACACTTTCAAAGTAACCGTACTGTGTTAACTCGCACGACCAAGCCCTTTCAAAACATACTAGTCACATCTCTGGACCTGAAATTTTTCCGAATTTGTTGATTAGTGTAATCACTCGAATTGCATGACTGCGTCGAAAGATTTTCGATATTAAAGGATAGTGTGTCGAATAGCCTCATCCTCCCTTATTCTATGTGTTTGAAAAACCGAACGTCCAGACAAACAAATTATTTAAACGAACGAACGTTCGAAACTGACACTATCTGAAGATCTCAGATAAGACTGTTCAAGAGTCGAACATAAATTACAGCACAAAGGAATCAGTTTATGAGTGATACAGCCTAGAAAAAAAACGTCAAAGTGAATTGTCAAGCTATTTATCTAACTATGTCAATACGATGTTCTTTTGTGATGTATTCGAGTGCGACATGCTTTCTCCTCCGCACAGATTATTATCAAGGATAAAATGATTTTGTGCGTTTTAAGAGTTGTCAACGTGTAGATCATTCCAGCGCACTTCATATACAGGGTGTTATTCATCCAAATATTTTATCAAGGTATTCCTAGTCCCGCAAATTCCCCTCACTATGACAAGGTAATCAAATCTGAGGCAATTACACGGGTATTTTTGTTCAAGTTCAACCGGCTCCGATGAGAATCTCGAACATATTTTACTGACTACATAAAGATGTAAAAAAAAACTTTCAAAGTGGAAATTTTGTGCAAAAAAAGTACGTCAAAATCGAGAGTTCTCTTCAAAAGAGGTTTTCCAAATAATTTTTAAATGCCGTTTTGTTCCAATTTTGTTCAGCAGGACAATGATGAACAAAGAAGAGAGGGAAATAATAAACACTGTTTATTATACAGGGTATTAGCGAAATCCCTCTTACAGCGGTTCTCGTTTTGACATTTATGCTGTGCATAATTTGTTTAACATTTATGTTGTGTCGGACATCTCCTCGTTCAGGTACAGCTTTTCACCGATGGTCACGATGCCTTTGACGTTGTATTCTTTAGATGCTGTGTCGGTGGCAGCCATTATTGGGTGTACGTATGACGGATTTTAAGGTATTTAGATGGTGATGCTGAATGGAAAATGTCCAAAATACTGCAATTCAAAAGAGAAGAAACGATAAAAAATTGCCATCTTGTAGGAAACATGTGTGTGACATTCGCTTTGGACCCCAAAGCCGAGTCTCTATTCACAGTTTAAATTATTGAGAGAATCTTACTCACCTTTTGTGGTAAACGTAAAAGTGGATGGCAGAAAGGGTACAAAGAACTGTGTCCCGTTTTGGGCCATATGGCGTCTAGCAATGAGACCGGTACCAATGGATAGGGGGCAGCGAGTATAACAATAATATATGGGTGACACGGCCCCAAGTTGTGGGCGGGGGGTTTTATTGGGATACAAAGTTAGTACTGGATTTGGGGTAGTTTTCGCTAAACATGGATTTTTCATGAATAAAGAGTCATTTTAGAAGGAAACTATGTATAGACGAAGTATTTATGCTGATGTCAAGAATCGATTGTCACTTTGGTTGGGGCTGCCCTTCAAGTCTGGGGTGCGTGGGAGGTAAAAATTGAAAAAAAATCAAAAATACCCTAATTTGGGGTTGAGATTCAATTTACTGCCCAAAACTAATCACATATTTGGATTGCTCGCGAAAAGTTGACTATATGTCTCATACAACAAAAACCTGATCCGATCACTCCAAAGACTGTAAATGGCCCTTCAAAGATTGACCCTATATCATTCATGCTCCAGTATTTGGCCTTGTCTTCTATGGCCCAAACCCCATACAAAACGGGACACGATTTTTTAGATCACTTTTGACTTTGTTGTTCAATGCTGACTCAATGCGGACCTATGTACGAGCAGGGGCCTGTTGCACAGTACTGTTACAATTGTTGCAAATTGTAATTGTAATTGTAAATACAATTCGTTGTAAAATTGTATTTACAATTCTACAATAATTGTAAAATTTCATTTACAATTTTACAATAATTGTAAAATTGTTTTTCAATAATGAATGTGACAGTCAAAAAGAAAAAGCGATTGGTATCAAAATTCAATTCACAATTTATAGATTTTGTATTTATTTTTACTGAAAACTATTTTATTTCTAACCGCTTCTAAACTTCCATGGCATCGGCAAACTCAGATTAAGGATTTACAACTAACGATTTGTCACAAACACAAATAAAACGAATTACATACGTAATCCAAACTTTTCCGCTCCGCAGCAATTGAGTTTACCTCCCACCTAATGTTGAACCCAAAATTTCAATGAAAACTTTTTTCATAGCACTTTTAACCTTAAATAATAACTATTTCGACCATTTTCCATATAAAAGTGTCATTTGCGAACAGAATTTCAAACATTTCAAGAAATAATCAATTTTGGACCAAATTTATGGGCAAGTAGGTGTTTAATTGTTTGCAAACCCCCAATATTTTTGCAAAATAATATCAGTTTGCCTTGACCGAAACCATAAAAATGGCTTTTTTCTCATAAAAAAGTGTCGATAAAGAACAAAATTTCAGAAATTTCAAAAAAATGTCGAATTCAGACCAAATTGATGAGGAATCAGGTGTTCGGTTGTTCAGAAACTCCCATTTTTTTTCAAAAAAACATAAGTTTACCTTGACCAAAACCCTGAAAAATACTTTTTTCGAGTACTTTCCATACAAAAGTATCATTTTACAAGGTTTTTCAGGTCCTCAGTCGGAGGCTTATGGTACGAAATTGGTCAATCAGAATGGGCTCAAAATCAATCCGAAGCCTTGTCTTGTTTTTACAGATCCCAATTATCTTGTCAACTTTTTGAGATATCCGGCGGACAAAAAACGCGAACGCGAACGCGAACGCGAACGCGAACGCGGACGACGCCATACGCACATCGCAATTTCGCACATTTTTCATAGTAAACAAAGTATTATTGGAAGCAGATAGGTCTTGATCGATAGGATTGATCCCATCTACATTGCCTAGTGTACAGATATGTGCTTTGAAGTTTCGCGCGACGTTATAGTGGTCCGAAAGAGGAGCTAGTAAAACCAATACTTTTCCTTAACAAACAATGTTTGCGGAAAAGTAAAATCAATCTCATCAATCGAACCAGTTAATTTTTCCAAATATTTTCCATTCATTGAGATTGACAATTTCAATGGATGAGTCTAAAAGACTTTTCAGCATTATAATTCATATTTGGAAAAATTAAATGGTTCGATTGATGAGATTGATTTTTGTGTTTGTGACAAATCGTTATCGTAAACCATCCAAATTGTAGCATAGTTCTAATTGTAACATAGTCTTAAAAAAAACCACTTTTCTGAAAAAATACAAATAAGTCATATATTCATATCGGAAGTTTTTTTTCGTGATCTTCTCAAATATGATTTAAAAAACAACAGTTACCCTTCAAAGTTTTGCAGAAAATTAGTCTATTTGTTCAATTGTTACAATTTGGACTATGTTACAATTTGGATGGTTTACGATAGTTGTAAATCCTTAATCTGAGTTTGCCGATGACATGGAAGTTTAAAAGCGGTTGGAAATAAAATATTTTTTAGTAAAAATAAATACAAAACCTATAAATTGTGAATATAATTTTGATATCAATCGCTTTTTCTTTTTGACTGTCACATTCATTATTGGAAAACAATTTTACAATTATTGTAGAATTGTAAATACAATTTTACAACGAATTGTATTTACAATTACAATTACAATTTACAAAAATTGTAACAGTACTGTGCAACAGGCCCCAGACATAAAAGTATTTTTACGTACAGATCAAATAATGAAAATCAAAATTTCATACAATTAATGCTTGCTTATCGTCATGTTAAACATGAACACAAAAGGTTTTTCTTGATCCTACTGAAAACAACATCTTACCTTCGAATTTGGCAGAAAAGAGTGATGTGGCCAAACAAATGAACGTTGCAGTCTGTTTAATTTTAATCTGGTCAGTTTACAACAATTTTTGTTCTATTTTCTTACGAAACCTGTCAGTCAGTCGACAAAAAATTCAAAGAAAAATCCAATTTCACAACATGAGTAGTGAGTACATTTCAATAGACTTGCACTGCGTGCACCAATTCCAATTTAACATTTTCTATTCGTTCGATATGTGATTCATTTTCTACTTACACAGAAAGGCTATAGTTTCTTTGAGTGTGTTGTGGTATGGCCACAGGCATAGCCGCGGCCAGTCACATAGAGAGGGCGCACGATCAACTGGAATGACTTCCAGTGGATCGTACGCATTTGACGTAGCTCGACTGACGTTCACTTGTCAGTCGGGCCGCATCGAATATAAGCATAAGTATGATGTTTGTAACCATTCGTATTCCAATCTTTGAATAAACCACACGTAACCAATAATCACTCTCGTGTTTGCATTACAGTGTTTATACAGTCAAGTTGTGGTTGAGATGAATTTTTGCTTTCGCCAATTACTACGAGATGCTTTGAAATTAAACTGGTTTTTCAAAAAAACTAAACTTTTTCCCTTGGCAAAATGGACTGAATGGGATAAATCGAGAGAAGTAACAAATTTTCGTATGAAATAATAAATAATAGAAGTTGATTTTTTCGCAAGTGACTTCTGTGTGCTACTAAAAAACAGACTGAATTCGATGACAGTTCAAGAAAGCCGGTTGACAGTTTGTGCTATTATATCGATCTGTTGTTGTGTGCGTAAGGAACAAGTTGCTATGTATGAGTACTAATAACAACAATACAATAATTGGTCATTGTTGGAGCTGGAAACTTCACTTTTGTTTACATTTTGAAAATATTCAAACAATAAACACAGTTGTACGAAAAATACACTCATTTTGGTAGATTGCATTTATTTCACTTTGCAGTGAATCATTAACTTAACAGCAATCGATATAAATAAGATGAAATACGGTTGTAAAGACTTTTTGCTGACAATGCCGTATTTGATATTTGCTCATGTTCTTGTATATCACAGTACCTTGATCCAATTCTAATGAGAACTTACGTGTGAGTAAATACGTAGGTCACTATTTATATTTCGGGTCCTGGCAATACTAGTGTTGCCAGATGCAAACTGGAACTTCCATTGGAAAATTTGACATTTTTTAGGAATAAATACGTTGATAGATCGAAAAAAAGTTTGCCCCTTTGGTTACACCAGCCCTTCAAAATGAGGTCCTACCCCATTTTCATACAAAAAAAGTGTTGACGAGTTAGCCATACTGAGCACCTTCTGAGGACAACGTGCTTATTGATGCAAAATGCCATTGTGTTGCTTATTGATTTCCACTAACAAACACATAATTACTGGGATCCGACCATACTTATTGTCTTCACAATGGTAATGAGTAAAAATCCCTAAAATTTCCCATACAAATGGACCTCACTTTGAAGGGCTGGTGTAACCAAAGTGGCAAACTTTTTTTCGATCTGTCAACGTATTTATTCCTAAAAAATGTCAAATTTTCCAATGGAAGTTCCAGTTTGCATCTGGCAACACTAAAAATTGGTTAGACCCGAAATATAAATAGTGACCCTCGTATACACAGCTTGTCAACGCGAATGTCATAACGGTTTAGTTTCAATTGAAGCGCAACTTGGCCTTTCATTCAAAATAGTTCACCCTTTTCATCAAAGATTTCTAACAACGATATTTGGAACTGAAGTTTTATTTTATTCTATTTCTCTTGAAAGTATATTTCTAGAACATAATTAATTTGACTACAAAAAGTATAATTTTCATTTTTTGTTGTTACCTACACTACCGTGCAAAAGTTTGGAACCACTAGGTATTTTTCATACAAATTGACCATTTTTGGTGGACTCATTAACATATTTCGGAAACACCTGCACTCTTGATATTTTGTGCATAGTTTCTACAACTTGTGATTTGCTATTGAAACGTTGTAGAAACTATGCACAAAATATCAAGAGTGCAGGTGTTTCCGAAATATGTTAATGAGTCCACAAAAATGGTCAATTTGTATGAAAAATACCTAGTGGTTCCAAACTTTTGCACGGTAGTGTAAATTTTCATCAAAGTGTTCTGGTTCGTTTGTTTGTGAACTATTGCTTCAGACACTAGTTATATCATGTTTCAATTCGGTTGAATTCAAGTTGGCGAACTAAGCCTTTCATCACTTCACCCACGATAGAACTGTGGAATTTGACAGTAATACCAGATTCTATTTCCACTTGGGATTTTAGCTTCCAAGTCATACAGTATTTCGGTGGTGGATCTTGTTCCATTCGGATTTTGTATACGAATCCCGGTTTGATGAGAATTGGATTGGGCAAACGAATTAGTACTAAGCTATCCAAATCCGCTTCACCATTATAAACGATACGTCCTTCACCCGAAGCTGTTGACTCTTCGCTTTCAGTAATCGTTATTTTCGTTGGAAATTTTACTGTGGCTTTCCATTGATTCAATATAAACTCGTATAAACGTGCACATTCGATTGCTCCCAATAAAATTGTTTTATTAGTAGAGAAAGTTGTCGTTTCAACGTTTTCAATGAATTGCGGATCATCCGTATCTTGTATTGTACGGTCACATACAACCACAGCGGCTTCATTCCATGTTGGATGGGTTCCATAGAATATTTTCCGCTTTGCCCTGAATAATTCGGGCTGAAAGTCTTTCGATGCGAATATTTGAATAATTTCTCTGTATTCATCAAGCGTAAATAGACCCCCATATGAACGATCAAATGCAGCAAACTCCTCCAATGACATCGACCCAAATGGCATTTCGTAGAACAAATCACCGAGTTGTTTTTGAACAATTTCCCTTGTCAATTGCTCTTGATTGCTGACCGACTTCACCCATGACATGCATGCTTCGATCAATTCAGCTTCTGTGCAGAACAATGAATCCATCTGCAAAATTCGTTTCAACACATTTTGATCGCAGTCCAGAAAGCTGCTTGATGAGAGTATTTCGTTCGTGTTGTATTTGATTTTGCTCTCACAAAATTTCATCAATCGTTTGTCTTCCAAAAGTATCGCAAGTCCTAGCCCATGCACATGTTTTCATTGGTGAGTGTGTTTAGCAAGAAGTCTTGACACGCATCCAAACATTCGGGGATGTCGTACTTTTTCCCCATGTTCATCACTTGTGCCACGTTTGCAGTTGTCACTTTTACTCGGCCGCAGTAAATGAATTGCAGAAACTCCTTGAACGCAGACGGAGAAGCGTCGACTATCTTAGCTTCGTCTTTCTCGAGCCAAGACCCATTGAGCATTGTACGGAAGACGTCGCTCGCGTTGGCTAACAAAAGCTTGTGCGCCGGAATACGCTCATGTTGATCGTTGAACTCGACATCGAAATGAAAATCGGCCATCTCCTCGTTCAGGTACAGCTTTTTACCGATGTTCAAAATGCCTTTGACGTTGTATTCTTTGGATGCTGAGTCAGTGGTTGCCATTGTCAGGCTTGTGTGTGATAAGCTGTGGAATGATTTGGTTGATGGTGGCGAATGGAAATCTCGAAAATACTGCAATTCAAAAGAGATGAAACAACAATAAATATTCAACTTTTAGCAAATATGATTGTGGCATTTACACTCAAGCTTCAAAGCCAATAGCAGCCTCTTGATTAGTGCGATTATTTCCCTCACCAATTGTTAAATCCAAGAGTATTGCAGAAAGTATTCAAATTGAGATTACTTTGGTTCTGATGTCCGAATATTGAGTGTGGACCTACAAAAAGAGGTGAAAAAATCGATTTGTGAATATAAAGCCTTTTGATTTGATTTTTTTTTGCTTTATGTAGAAGAAAATGACTTCTTACCTTCAAAGACAAAAAAGGAATCAACCGTCAGTCAGTTTTCTTCAATCTGGTCAACTCTCGACAATTTTGGTTTTATCTTGTAAAACACCTGCTATTAAAAAAATAAAATCCAAAAAAAAACAATTACAATTCACAGTTCAGAATATAATAACACTTTTTAGGGGTTTGAATACAGGACGATTGCATAGTGTATGCCAATTCTAATTTGATGTTTGATATTCAGCTCCATGCGTGCTCCAGTTTGAACTTACTTGGAAAGTCTATGGTTATATATGTGTTTCGAATAGTTTGATTGATGCCAAATATTCAAATAACTATAACATCTGGCTGGTGTGAGAATTCTTCTGCAAACTACATCAAGTGATTGTGGTTGAATTGAGATGAATTTTTGCTTCCGACAATGACTTTGAGATGATTTCAAATTAAACTGATTTTACAAAAGAGCTGAAGTGTTTCGCTCAACAATATAAACTGAATAAGAAAAACTGGAAAGAATATTGAAATTCTGTGTTTAATCGTAGAATAGTTTCAGGGTGACTGTTTCATAAGTGAGTTTTGTATGCGAATGAAAAATAGATTGAATTCAATGACAGCTAAAATGATAGAAAAGCCGGTTCACATTTTTGTGGTTATGTTGACCTGTTGATGTGTGCGAAAAAAGCAAGTGGTCCATGTATGAATGCTAATACTTTGTATTGGTGATGACAGCCCGAAATGTCACATTTGTTTACATTTTTTATAACATGAATTCCCATTTGAAATCCATTAGCGCTGCATAAACATAGAACATGGGTATGAAAAAAGCATTTATTTTGATGCATTGTATTTATTTCACTTTTTGATCGCAACAGTCGATACAAATGAGATACACGATTGAAAAGATTGTTTATATGAATTATATTTTATTATATTGAATTTTTCATTGAAAAAAAAAACTCCATTTTAATCCTTTGATTGCGATTTTTTAATTTTTGAATAATTTCGACTGCCACGATAAATAGAGATGAACCTCATATTTGGATTTTCAGAAATTTGAGAATTTATTGAGAAAATCGGAAAAAAATCAAAAGTGTCAAGATAAGAGGAAGAAAAATTTGAAGTTTTGCTATAAATTCGCATTTTTCATAGCACATGAACAAACAACTTTCGATATAGCTGACAAATTGTAACGAGTAAGCTATCACATGAAAGCTGGTTCAATTCCCTACATTTATTAAAGGGTTAATGACTTTATTGGAAAATATTTTGTTTAGTTCTGAGACATTGACTCGATATCATTTAGATTCAATGAAATATGATTTCTGTTTGTAAAAAAGAAAACCAATGTGCTATCGAAAAAAAACTCCATAAAAACAATATGAAAATGTATTGTAGCTTTTTCAGATAGGCTCAATGTCCGCTTTCCTAAACTCTGTAGAATCCTAGACAACGCACTAATCCCCGTGCAATGCCATCATTTTCAGGTATTGGTTCACCGTGGAACCGCACAATAACATCGGGCTCCAATCGTACTTCAGTTTTCATTTGGACACCAGTGCAACAATCAGTTGGTGGGGTTTGGACGAATCGAATTTCGTACATCATTCCGGGCTTGATGAGGATGGGTTTCTCCAATGATATACGTGTGGTGTCGCCAGTCTTTAAATTTATTTTGTTGTTGTGCAGGACAACCTCTTCACCTGAGGCATTCACTTGAACGATTTTTATCTCAGATGATAAATCTTCTTTGAGTTTTTTTGTTATTCCGATATTCCCAAAGTTTTGTGCAATAGAATGTAAGTACTAATGGCTCATTGGTTGAGAATCTCGTTGTTTCAATGTCTTTGATGAAATAGGGCGTTATCGAATATGTTGTCGTGATTGCTCGAATACACTTTATTTCATCCACTCCATCACATTCAATTGCTTCAAAGTGTTTACGACGTATTCCATTGAATATTTTCGGTTGAGCATTTTCAATTACGATCAAATGAACAATTTCTCTGTATTCGTCGAGTGTGAATAGACCGCCGTACAAAGGATCGAGTTTGGCAAAGCCTTCAATTGACATCGACGGAAAACGAATTGCGTAGAACAATTCACCTAAATGAGCTTCAACAATCTCCTTCGTCAAGCTGTCTTCTTCGCTAGCATTTATGACCCAGGCCATGCACGCCTCGAAAACGTCAGCTTCCGAACAGGAAAACGAATCCAGTTTCAAAATGTGTCCAAGAGCTTTTTTGTTGCAATCCAAGAAACTTGTCGATGAAAAAATGGCCTTCGTATCGAGTGCGATCATCAGTTCACATAGCCTCTTTAAATCGTTTTGTTTGTGGAGAATCTCCAGGCCATAAGCCCAGCAAACGTTGTCGTCGGTGATTTTTCGTCTCAAGAACTTTGTGCACAGGGCCAAACATTCAGTTACGTTGTACTTGTTGGCGAGATACATCACTTTGGCCACGTTGTCCATGGTCAGTTTCACTCGACCCAAGTAGAAGAATTGCAGGAACTCTTTGAAGGAGGCGATCGGCGCATCGACAATCTCGACTTCGTGCTCTTCAAGCCACGACCCATTGAACATCGTTTCAAACACATCGCTGACCGTGGTTAGCAACAGTTTATGCGCTGGAACTCGCTGGAACTCGCTGGAACCATCTCGAACTCGAACATGAAATGGAAATCGGCTTTTTCTTCGTTCAAGTACAATGTGGATCCAATCGTCGCGTAAACTCCACTCACAAAATCGTTGGTAGCTAGAGTGACGGCTGACATGATTGGAGAATATTGTGTTTTCACTTTTTGCAACAAGTAGGTAATACTCTGTCGGTCACAGGAAATCGATGCACTGGAATTTTGCGAATAAACAATAAATCAAATATAATTTTGAAGCAGACACATTTAGATGGTATACATACCTTTGGCAGCAATTTCCCGATGTTATCAGTGGGTTTGAACAAAATGAGGTTAGGTTCGTTTGGAAACGAATGTTGGTTGTTGATTCTGCAGAGAAATTAAATTCGATTGAAATTTATAGCTAAGAATGGAAATTTCTAAAAATCTCACTCATTGAAATTTGTTTTTGAATAATTCAAATCAGAATACGGACATTGCAATCTTTTCACACTCAACATTGAACAGAACATCTGATTCAAAATGAGTTTATCTTACCGTTGACTAATTTTGTTCTGCAATGTGGCAACGAAACACACAACGAATAAAAACCTTAATGCTGTTTGAAATTGTATAGTTTATTTGTTTTCTTCGAATGTTGAAATGAATATTCCGGATACAATGAAACTTTCAAGTTTTGTTTGTACTCTATGACAGCTGAAACGACAATGCCGCATTTGACATTTACCGATGTATTTGCATATGACAGTACCTTGATCCTATTCTAATGAGAGCCTATGTGTGAGTAAATAAACACAGCCCGTTAACTCAAATGTCATTACAAATTGATTTCAATTAAAGCGCGATTTGATTTCCACGGAATTTTTATTTCATTCTATTTCATTTGAAACTATATTTCTAAAACATAGTTCAGTCGATTACAAAAAGTATTATTTTCATTTTTCCTGTTATTTTTTATGAACGTCTTTTGGTTTGTTCATGTAAATTCTCTCCGACACTTGTTTCATGTTGAAATTTGGTTGAATTCGAGTTTCTGAATCAAACCTTGCATTACTCCGCCCCCACTTCCAGTAGAACCGTGGAACTTAACAGTGAAGGATTATGTTGTTGGAATTCATACAAAGTTCGCTCAAGACCAACAAAGATTTGTATTGGACAACGAAAAACAACTCGAAGACGTCAATCGTGCATGTGCAATGCATCCGGCTGGAGAAAGTGCGGCGGTTCCAGTTGCATTAAAATACACAACAGCATGCCTTTTTCTGTCGGTGGCGTTGAATTCTGCGCCATATCAAAAAGTTTTAGCCAATACAAATACTCTATTGAAGTCCCTATGCAATATTACCAAAATACCAGTGAAAACTCTGGTAGTGAACGTAGCTACAGTCGATACAATGATCTCAATCAAAATCAATCTCTGTAAATTCATCGCCAAAATTGCTGAACCACTTTTCGCTGACGATCTTCCAGGGGAAGCACCAAATCACAAAGAAATCTGGCAATTTGTACAGAAAATGATAAGCGGATGGGAAATGGCTGGTTTCATGGCAGACGTACTACGAGCCCATATTAGCCAAAGAATACTCGATGAAATCGCATCGTATAAGTCACGAAGTGATTCAATGCTGAAAAGATTAAACGGGAAGCCAATGGGTGCCTATAAGTTACTGTTTCCGAATGGCCCTGACATGGAACCACGAAAAATAAGCAATCTCAAATGGCTAGCGGCGAATTACAACAAATCCAGATATTCATCTTGGACAATTTTTGCAAACATTGACAGCAAAACAAGTATTCCTGTTGCTGAGCTGAGGCTGTTACTTGCCAAAAGACCAATAAAACGTACATGTTCGAATGAAGAAATCATTAAGAAACGACGATTTTAATTAGGTTTATTTAGAAAGCAGATAGTAAAAATGAGAAAATAATTATTTTTAATTATTTCAATTCAATTTGATGATTTTCTTTATTTTTTGACTAACTTCTAAATCAAATGCAGTGAATGTATAGCTTTGTTTCGTTTTTTTTTCTTCAGTTTTTCTTTTCATATCGTTTGAAATGTAAACATCATATTGAAATCGAATGAAAATATCAAAAAGTTACAATTAAAAAGAATCATTTACATTACGAACACGACGTTTCTTTATTAGAAAGTCTTTATTTTTATTCTTGATATGGCTGTAGCTGTAGAACTTCGGTTTCTTTGTCCAACCAAAGAGTGTCATTTACTCCTTCTATGCTTGGTAAACGTCCTTCACCACCAGCATCTAGTGCACCGGTTTGAACGTCCATCAGGTCGGTGTTTTTATCATCATTACTGGCGGCACTTGATGGGCTGAATTCATCATCATTTGCAGCTTGTTTTTCTAATGGTTTCAATTGACTGGTGGCTCTGCGATTCAGCGAGTCCAAATGGTGAAATGTTGTTTATTACTTTAATCAGCGAACATTTTTAAACAATGAATTATGTGCAATTTCATATTGTATAGCTTCTGTGTAATATAGAAAAGCCTCTTTTCATTCTTGTCGCCCCGCATAAATATCGCCGATATTTGAGTACGAGGGTCGCTGCATAAGTTTCTGGCCTAACCTATTTCTAGTGTTTTCAGATGCAATCTTACGATTCCATCGGAAAGTTTGACATTTTTTAGGCTAAAAAACACTATAGCAGGGATTGTTTTACATTACTGGGTGTGTCTAAGCCTCCTTTCCAAGGGATACCTGGAAAAATCGTAAATTTCAACAATAAACTTCATTTTTCGATATGGGAAAAATTGATTATTCTGTTGTTAACCACCTAACAAACTTCGTTTATCCTCAATTTAATAATTTCTGGCTAACGAAACCATTATTTTATATTTTGGGCCTGCAAATATTCGATTGAATGAAGGCATGTCAAAAGGTGAAAATTCATGAAGTGACAGATAGTTCCCAGTTTTTGGCCCATTTTCTGAATATTTTCATTCCAAAAATGTCCGCTTTATTCAGAATTCATGGCACTACAATTCCAAAGTATAATAACAGTCATGTAAATCATTTTTTCCCAGAACGAAGCATTGCAATTTGCGAAAATCGTCTGTTTTTTCAGAAATAAGGAAAATTTTCTGTTATTTTCAAACACGATACTATCACTAAAACCTTCTGGGATGACATGCTATACTCATAAATGATAATTTTGTAATCTCTAGTGACGATTGAGGGTTTTTCAGCCTATCAAAATTGCATTATTGAGAAATTGTAGGCCTATTTTTGTCCAAAACTCTTTTTTTTGGTTGAAAACATATTTGGAGGTTTTGACATGTGAAAGGCATTTACGTCACTAAAACCACATGTAATATTGACCTCATGCATGTCATACTAATGCCAAAGGATGCCCCAATCTCACTATAAGTCGTATGAGAATATTCCACCTTTAGGTTTCGCACAGCATCAATGTGTTCCGGCGTTACAGCTGATATTTTACGACTTTCCTGCGGACTCATTTTTGAGTGAGCTTCGTCAACATTTAAAATCGTTATATCACCTCTAAATACTTGGAATGGACCGAGTTTTATCACCCAAAGCGAATTTGAGGCTATCACGGCACTCTTGTTGAGTTAGTCCCTCTCAAAAATCGGAAAAAATCATTGCACAAAAATGTTTGCGGAAAAATTCAATTTTTTCATCAAATTGAAATATTCAAGCTCATAAAACACCACGATCCGTAGTGAATCAACAGTTGACGTCTGAGGAAACTTAGCTTAAAAAAGGTCAAACTTTTTGACTGACCCAAAGTTTTGCTTCGGAAAACACTAGAACTAGGTTAGGCCAGAAACTTAAGCAGCAACCTACGTAGATTCATGACGGTCAAACTGTAGCCAATTTTCAATCATTCTCAAGTACGATTAATCGAACATTTCTACCTATTCAAATTTCATTTTCCTCAATTATCGATCACCTTCTCGATACATAAATTGCCTAAAAACATGCTATTTTGTTCAATATAGAATCAAAATGAAAAACCAGAAAATTCAAAAGTTATAAATTTTAATTGATCTTTGCAATTTATGTGCTTGACAAGATGATTAACGTATGTAATGTCACCAATTAAATAGAAAATTAAAGTGATTTTCTTCGAAAAACAAAAAAACATCAATCATCCGATGAACTGTCATCGCTGTCTCGTGCTTTTTCCATTTGCTTGGACAAATCCTTAGCGGAATATTTGTGAATGATGTGTTGGATTTTCATTTTGGCTCGCTTCTTTAATGATTCATCTTGCATGTTGCGCAATGAAAAAGATACAAAATTGTCAAAATCGGATTCCTGTGTCGATACACCGAACAGCGGCATTGGTTGCAAATCGGGTAGTGGCGGTGGAAGTGCAAATTGCGACGATGAACTTGGTACATCAAATGGAGATAACAATGGTGGTGAGTCACAACGCGTAGATGAACCCGGCATTGCGAATGTTTTCGAATTTTTACCAATGCGGGTGTGATCGTCGGAGTTTTGAATCGAACCCGAACTCGATCCTGAACTCGATCCCAAATCCGAAGCACCATTTGACACCAATTGATTTGCATTGGTTGCATTCGCATCGAGAGTGGTGTCAATGTATTCCTGTTGTTTGCAAAAGTACGTCATCGCTTCGCGGTATAACTTTTCCATAGAGCGCAAATCAATGTCTCTGTATTTTCGTCTTTTCGGATTGGACACAATAATTTTGCTGCTCATCGAGTCATCGTTTTGGTCGAAAGAAATCGTTTCATTTTTGTTGACCAGGGTATTTTTGAATTGTTTATAGCGTTTGGTTAGCACGCCGAGTATTTTTGCCAATTCCTTCAACAAATCGTAAAATTGGACAATCACGTTGGGAAAAGTGGTGGTACTGAACTTGTTCTTTTTCAAATAATTCTCGTAGCACATGTCCAACGAATTTGAAGTGTTGTGTGCTTGAAGATTGATTTTTTCGCACCACATGCACAGCACTGCAGAGGCATGCATGTTATGATTGATTGCCATGTGCTCCAGCATCATCAAATAGGGGCCAATCATTTCGCAACATTTACACTTCAACACTCTGCCGGCGATGTTGACTTCCTTCTCCAAATAGTATTTGAAGTACTTGAATAAATCAAATGATGGATGGATGTTCAGTAATTGCATCATCAGTTTTGGCGTCATTTTCTCATACAATCCTGACTTTTCTAACTTGTAATCGAGAATGCACACTATTTTTAAGGAAATCATGCTGGAATTTTCCGTCCATGTTTCGACAATCGGTGCTATCGGACGACCGCTCAAATGCTCCAACATTTTTGAATTCATCTTTCTGACGACAAAATTCAGACGAGTCTGAAAATGAACAATCTTTCATCAACACACACTTTATTCACTCATTTTTATTTCGCTTAATTTTTCAATGACTTACCGAAAAAATGCCACTTCGAGATATTTCTATTCAGTAAAGTTGAACTGCAAAACTGGTTGAGTGCTAGTTCTTGCGTCTGTTGCTTGTGTAAAACTAACTCCAAATGCGATTATGATGAAAGCAATAGGCTCGCACAGTGTGGCGACGTTCAGAATTTGAAATGCTACAAAATACACACACACATACATATAAACAGACGTTTTGCCGGCTGTGTGCTCAATACACACAAATGTACAGCTCCTTTCCCCACTAATACCGACTTGCGATGTTATTGTGTTCTATACTAGCACCATTCAAATTATGGTCAATTAAATAAGCAAAAGAAAATCATTGGATCTCTCAAAAGTTCAATATCATCTGAAATATTGGATTTAAGATCCAAAAGAAATAAAAACCATCTTTTGAAAATATAATAGTTTATTGAATAAAAAAGGCGATAAAAAATGCAATGGTTCCATTGGTTTTATGATTGGGTTGAAGGATCCAAACGTATTTTGTCCCGCTTCTGTTTATATATTCGGTAATTTGTCCGATAAAATCTTGTCCCAATAAATTGGAAACGATGCTTTGGATTTTAGCTTGCTCTCTGAGTTGACCAGCTTTGATGTGGCTCAATGCTGAAGTGATGAAAGTAAAAGGCGATTTGGACTGTTTGTTGAAGAGAGTCAATGGACTTGAAACCAACGTGAGGCATGTGAAAAATGCATCTTCGAATTAGGCTATTCAAAATGAGGCAGGGACTGCGACACATCAACTTCGGTCGGACCTATTTCAATCTTTAGATTTGAAGCAAATTACGTTTTAATTCCGACCAGGTCAGCCCTTATCTAGTCAGCCCCCATGCTCTAGTCAGCCCCGAACTATAATTGTACGATTTGGTATGATTGAACCATTGCATTTTATCAACATTCAATAGGATCATCATTGATCATATGTGGTATATCGCTGCGCTGTTAGACTCTGTTTGCTTTGCCTTTTTTGCCATCGTGTTTGACATTGTATTCAGAATATGAAAATATAACATTTGTAACTACAGTCTATTCCAAACACAAAGTGACCGCAGAGGCAAGTTTCCAATACAACGAGATCAGTGCGAATACAAATACAATCAAAGAACTCTCTTTGACTGCTGCAAATTGTGTGTGAACCTGAACGTTTGTGTGAGTTTGTGTTGAACAAGTGACTGTTCGTGCCAAAAACCGCGACCGTTTAATGTGGTATATGATTTAATTTCGACATGTAATTAATTAATTTGTATGCAAAAATTTATTTATAAACCTGCCTGTTATTGTGCAAACAATTTGAAGAAAAGTTTTTCAATGTTTAGATTAATGTATACGTGAGCTTTGTGTGTAAACTGAACCGTGCATGCAAAAACTTGTCCGATTTAATTCGGAACAAAGTGAACATTATAATAATCTGCGTCTCTTCTGTTTCAAACTGTCATTCTGTGTGAATGGTTTTCGGCGCTCAAACTACTGTCATTTGCAACTGATATCGTGTTCTGTGATACATTCAATTTTCTTTAGCTCTTCATTTAATTCATAAAAGCCAAAAATTATTCAACGTAAATTCGAGTGAGCTCAGAATAATTTCAAACACATTGGAATCTACATCAACGTCAGACGAAACACTTTCATCAACATGGCCGAAGGACAAATTGTACAAACTGAATCAATTTTCAATTTGCGTATTCCAGTCAACAAGTTGGACAATTTTTGGTCACCACAGGTTGTGGTTCAAGGGATCCCGTGGAATGTTAACGTGAAAAAGAAAATCATTGGTACTCAAGAATGGCTCGCCGTTTATTTGTACTGCAGAAAAGTCGAAAAATCGCATGATTGGGCGATTACTGCTGATGCAACGTATCGACTGAACTCTTCTCATAGCCAAAACACAATCGAAAGAAATGGTGGTCCATACTTCTTCGATTACATGGGAATGGGTTATGGTTTTCCAGGAATCATCAAGTGGAAGGATCTTTTCGATATTGATAAGGGTTATGTTGAAATTGAACGATCAATTTCAATATCAAAGTCAAGGTTGCCGATCCAAATGATGGAAACGCAAGCAAACTGGTGGTTGATTTCAACAAATGTTGCGAAATGAGCAAACAAATGACATTGAGACTCACTGTCAATAATATTGATAAACTCATGGCGGTACGAACACCAGAATTCGTCCTGCAAAATTTCCATTGGGATTTAACCGTTTTCAAATATTCTGGTGGTCTTGACATTCGATTGAGTGGTAAAAACGGGTCTAACCAAACTCCACACAACGTGAAGATCGACTTCAAAATGCAATCATCGGTTGGAGGAGTGCAAAACATCGAAAAAGGCTGTAATATGCAGCTTCGGCATCGTCAATGTTCCAACATAGTCCCAATTATATCATGGGAGGAGCTCATCAAAAACGAAAATGGATTCGTCGTCAACAATTCCGTTCAATTCGAAGTCAAAGTCGAAGTCAAAGTGAATAAACCAGAAGAAGGAGAACCGAACGCAAAAAAACGATGCACAGCAAACTCACCTGAAGCTGAAGCAAATGCTTTAACGTTGGAATGCGCGATCTGCTTGAACAAAATCAAAGGTCAAGACTTATCGTCAACCTACTGCGGTCATTTATTTTGTACGAAGTGCATCACGAACGCTGTCCAAGCTCATAAGCGCTGTCCATCATGCAATACGGACCTCGACTTGAATAAGTTGCATCGCTTCTACTTGCCAATGTAATACATTGCATTTTTTTAAATTCAATTATCGAATGAAAATTTGCAGAGTGTTATTATCAATTTGTTTCTATTTAAATTTACAGTGTGGACAAAGACTAGTTGGACGATTGGCTCCTTATCATTCGTTAAATTGGCTGGCGATCGATGAAAAATAGCTTATCCACCAGTAAATCGATTTCATACATCCTTGTGAGGCCTTTCGCTTATCGCAGAACAAACATATTATTTTCAACACATTCAAAAAAATTTAAGGAACACTTCTAGATTAGTAACGCGAAGAACCGTTCATAAAAATTGATGAAAGAGATCATATAAACTGAACAGAAGAAAAACTATTCATCAGCAAGGAAATCGGAAATTATTAGCAAAATAGATCTTTTTAATATTGAACATGATTTAAATTCTAAACTTGAATGAATGCTCTTCAACAAAAAATTTTTTCTTCAGAAATTCACATCGCAACGGTTTGATCTATAGAAATAAACCACAAAAGAATATTCATTTAGTTGAATATCAGATAGCATTCAGGATTTAAAGCGTACTTAAGAATACAGCAAATTTTGTGAAAAATCGAATTAAGTTTCCTGAATAAAAATTGCGAATAAACATTTTAATGGTATTGTTTATTTTCAGACATTTGTTGATCATATCCTGTGCCAATAAATTGAAAACGATTCTTTGAATAGCGGATTTAGCTTGTACTCTGAGTTGTTCATTGGTGGCATGGACGATTTAGACTGTTTTCTGAATGAGCCCATGGCAATGGTTCTTCCAGCTGAAGTATATAGAAATGCATCTTCGAATGGGGAGATTTTAAATCCGACGGGCACTTCGATTGAATCTCGATTTCAATCGCTCGGTTGAAGCAAACAGATCATTGGTTCATTTGACTGAATCTTCATTTTTATGGTTCTTGATCCTTGTTGTTCATAATAATGTCAAACACAAGGTATTCATGGCTTGTTGGCTTTGCCTCTTTTGCCATCGTGTTTGACACTGTAATCAGATGTTGAAAATTTAAAATTTGTCATTGCAGTCCATTCCAAATACAAATTTACCGCAGAGACAAGTTTCCAATACAACGAGATCAATCCAAATACAAATACAATCAAGGGACTTGATGCCGCAAATCGTGTGTGAACGTTTGTGTGAGTTTGTATTGAACAATGAATTGATTGTTCGTGCCAAAAACAGCGACAGTTTAAAGTGGTGTCCAGTCGATTATTTAATTTTGACATGTAGTTAATTAATTTATATGTAAGAATTTATACACAAATTTCAAAGTGGAAGAAGCTGCCGGAAATTCGAAAAAACGCCGTGGATCAAGCCCACCTGAAGCTGAAATATTGGAATGCGCTATCTGCTTGAATCAAGAACCAAGAGGCATCATCAACGGTTTGTGGTCATTTATTCTGTTCGAAGTGCATCAAGAACGTTATTCGAGGGGTGAACCTAAAATCGTACTAAAAACCCGAAAATCGGCAAAAAATTAATTTGTTTCTACCCATTTTTTCAGCGCAAAAAAGGACTAATGTTCATCGTCAAACCGAATTCTCACGGAGAGTTTGATGGTTCATGAAGAACTTCACCTGCAATACCGGATTCCATTGATAATCACGAATACATTAACCTTTATCAAGAATTTAATTTACTGTTTTGAAACATCCGAATTCCATCTGTTCACATTTCTTCTTAATAGAAAAAAAACATATTTCATAAGAATAGACCTGGAATTGAAAATCATCTGGAATTTAGTAATTAAGGTCTACAGATAAAATACAAAGAATCTTTGAAAAACACAATAGGTGAAGCAAAGTTGTAGCTAAGAGTCCAAAAAACAAACTATGTTCAGAAAATCACATTTGGTTGATGTTTTGAGGCAAAAAATCTGATTTTTTCGAAAAATTCGTATTTTCTGGATATATCTTACAAATTATTAGAGTTTTTTGGCCACTTTGGACCAATTTTAGAGCGTTTGGTGGACATTGGTCAAATTAAGATATGCCAACAGCCATATTTCAGTTTTCAATGTATTTTATATTAAAGCTTATACTTACAGCTAAAAATAAGCCCAATACGATCTGCCTATGATGTCTAATTGGATAGTTATGGCTCTTTCAGTGATGAAATAACGATATTTTGACACTAATTATCACTTCAGGAGCCATGAGTACCCTACCAGACGTCAGAGGCAGGTGATATTAACCTTATTTTTCAGCTATGAACATCAACTTTGAAATGCCATACCGCTAAAACTGAAATATTTCATATGCCATGATATAAATTGGCTCAAGGTCCAACACTACCTCTGAATATTTGTTCAAAAATCACATTTTCCACTCAAATACTTGAAGATCATCTTTTTAAATAACTCGAACATCAGAACAAATATTGCAAGATTGCTTGTAATGTTTTTTTTAATATTTGAGAAGGAAAAATCATTTTTTATGGAGAAAATTTGATTTTTGAACCAAATTCGAAGTGTTGTTGTGGACATTAAGCCAAATCAAATCGAATCATGGCATATGAAATATTGAAACAGAACATGATTTTTTCGGGCTGATGTACAGGACAAAGTTACTCAGTTTTACATTGGCTACAATATTGTTCAAGGAAGTGGCCAAAAAACTCCAATACTTTGTAAGATATATCCGGAAAGTTCGAATTTTTCGAAAAAAAAATCAGACTTTTTGCCGCAAAACACCAACCAAATATGATTTTCTGAACATAGTTTGTTTTTTTGGACTCTTAGTATAAAAAAGTAACACGCTACCACCAATACTGAATGATTTATGAAAAAATGAAAAAGTCAACATTGCTGAAAACTCGTGTTGAAAAAAAATTACCAAAGTCGATAAAATAAAAACGCCAACCAATTTTGCAAAACCCAGTTGAGGTTTCACTCAGCTAGAGTAGTACTAAAACGTGGGATATACCAAGTTCAGAACGTATACCTTGTGTTGCACTGTGTTATCAATGGCGGATAGAAATTGCAATCATTATGTTTGAAAAAGACATAAATTGGGCATACGGTTAGTGCACATCATATTTCACCATAAAACTCGTCGAATTCAATTCAACAACGAACAAATTTTATGCACGAATTTCCCATAAAGCAGAGAACAGAAGAATTGCAAAATACAGTGTGTTTAGTGGCATATTCTATACGCACTATTGAGTCACAGACTGAAAGCCCTCACTCAGCGCTAGCTAATGGTAACAATGAACAACTGTTTTTAATAAAGCATATAATTACATGCACAAATTATGATTTCTGTCAATTTTCCTGCAACATAATAAAACAGTATTATTATTGTACGTCAGTTTTGTTCAATGGGCGTTTGAATGTTTTGTTCAAAAGCCGTACACTTGAGAATTTAATAATTATGCAAATACAAATGCAGAGTATGTATTGCAGAAAACATAGTACATATTATAAATGGGTATGAATGAAATGAGAGGAAAATGTAATAGTGTTTAATTAATCGGTTCATTGCTTTTGATTAAAACATTTACAAAAAGAGTGCTCCAACCAAGTGTTCAAACCATACTTGATCGCTTGAAGTTTTGCATAAGGAAAAATGAACAAAAATGCAATTCTATAGATAAACCAACGTTGAAACGTAGCTGTGTACAGTCGGACACTATAGCACCGTTAGTTTGTTTACTGAAGTTGACGAAAAAGAATGCGATGAACAATGTGAAAGCATGTGAGCCGGCGAAATGATGCAAGTGTGTGTATTAACACGATCCATTGAATACCATTCCAATGTTGATTCTCTCTTCTCTTATGAAAAAAGAATACGTACATAGAATGTCCCATGACGTATTGTAAGGAATAGCACATTGAATTAAATACACTGTAACATATTTCTAAGTCTATTCGGACACAACTGTTGATGTGTGTGCTCAGAAGAGTACATAAAGTAACGCATTCATTGACGATACATCCGACCGTTGAGTCTATAATGCGTGTGCTATACAGGGAACACTCATACAACGGCATGTGTTATACTCTGTTATAGACGCACATGTATGTACAAACAGATGTTTCAAACGTCACTCCATCCGTGTTAGACAGTCAAATGTCATTTCAGTCACAAGGTTGCTGTCGCTAGTCAGAGAAATGTTTTGTTTTCATACGAATTTTTTCGATTCTGACGCAATGTATATCATTCAGTTAATGTTTTAATCCAATAAAAAAAAAGTTGTGTTTATTTCAAGTGTTTACTATAAGCTAAAGCAGACAACAACAAAATACCGCTCGTTATCGCTTTGATGGAAAAAAGTGCACTGTACTTAGTTCAACCTTATCCCGAAAAATTTGTGTTTTGATTCGGTGTCCGCTGAAAAGTTTTATAGCCTTTAAAACCTTCGACAATATATTGAGTGTTTCACATGAAATTCATGGGCTAATAATAGAACATTCGAAGAAAAAGTTCATAGAACACGAACTTGAAACAGATTACGTCAGTCCCATTTCACGGCGGTGAATGTTTATCTTATCTCGTTGTTTGTATTCAGTTCGATTGGTGCTGAATGTGCGCTTGTTATTCCCAACAACTTAGTCATTTGCCGGTTGTTTCGATGTGATGGTGTGAATTACATGAAATTCTTTTCGTAGAGTAAGCAAAGTGAAGGTGTCGAGCCGAATTTCATGCGTTTTCATTGATTTTTAATGAATTTGTGAGTTTATTTTTTCGTGAATTAAATTTAGTGTGAATTTGCTTAATTCTGCTAAAAAAAACTCTGCTAAATTCTGTAACTTGGCATAAATACGTTCATTTCTGTTGGAATGTGTTTCAGTGGTTGAATTTTTTAACTTTTGGCTCTATTTCCGAAGCGAACGATAAATACCTTACATGATCTTATTGATTATCTGTGTAATGTGACACTGAAAATAAATAACAGTGGAGAAATTGTTGAGAATTTCTGTAGACAATGACATTAAAAACATCGGAATTAGGCTAAAGTGTCCAGAAAATTATTTCTACGCAGACCTGCGTATTTCTCATTCCACAATTGTGCAGCGATTTAAAATGAGTCGGATGATTCGTAATTATTCGCCTAGAAAATAGTGCCTAGAGTCACTTATAAAGATATAAATTACAAAAATTGTACAAAAAAAACTGTTGTTTTCGACAGATAATTTGTTGGCACTATGACAAAAACCACGTCCGACGTTTTAGATGAACTGAAATCATTTCGTTCGCGTCTTTTCGAAATTGACACTGATGACGATGGCGCAAAGTCGAAATTGGATAACATTTTGGATGAATATCGAAATAGTGACAAATATGAAGCAAATCAATTCGAAGCTTTCGCTGAAGAATACCTCATCACTCAATTCGGCCTTGATAATGTATGGAAATGTGGTATTTTGAAACTTTAGCACAACGTTTTGTAAAGAACAAATTAAAAAAAAATTTAAATTTTTCTTGGCAATTTTCAAACATGCTTTGCTTTGCCTTGTGAAAATATTTCAAAGCATTTCATATTCATTTCTTCTTCTTTTTCTCTTTCTCTTTCTCTTTCTCTTTCTCTTTTTCCTTTTCCTAGTTGAACAATGAAGCAAAATCCAAAGTCGAGTCGCTTCTTATCGACGGTGAACTTCCATCGCTACGGAATGAAGATGCTACCTATTGGGATCGTGACCGTTTGATGTTCTGTCTTGTGTTAGACAATGAAGACGTGTTTGCAAAGGCTTTAAAATTGGTTGCTGAAAAAAGGCCTGAGGAACTACCGAAATTGGGTTCCGAAATAAGTGATTCAGACTCGAGTGAAGGAAGTGATGTGGAAACATTGGATACGTGGCGAGATGTGTCTCTAGTGAAAATTGCTGTTTTACGTGGTTTGGATACTGCACTAGAGGCGTTAGGATCAATAAATGAAGTGTTTAATTTGTCAGCGATAAATTACGTGTACGAATTTGGACGTTGGCAATCGCTGCAAAATTTATTAGAAAAACGCAGTGAAATGGAGTGGAATCCAGTGAAACTAGGTGATTTCATTACATTTTTGATGGGAGCACAGACATTCGACAAAGAATTCCGTGACACCGAAGAAGGCAAAGTGGACTTTAGTAAATGTGTCGATTTGCTATTCAAATACGCCGAATACGAAATCAATGAGCAGAATGAAGATCATTATTCGGCGTTGCATTTGGCTGTGATGTACAACAAACCAAAAACCATATTCAAATTGCTGAAAAAAGGTGCTTACATCGGTGTGCAAGACAAATCCGAACGGCCGGCCATTTGGAACATTCACCCAAAAACATTGGAAAAGTATTTCGATCAGTGTATCGAAGGTGACGACTTGATTGTGTTCAATTTTGAGAACTTGATCGCTCCATCGGAAGACTATCCGAATGAGTTGACCGCCATTGAATTTATGTCGAATTCAAATGATCTCAAGTATTTGCTTGAACATCCACTGATCGCATCCTTTCTGTTTCTCAAGTGGAATCGATTGGCGTTGATTTTTTACCTGGATTTTCTGTGCTATTTCCTGCTTTCAATGTTAACAGGCTTCATTTCGATGTATTACCTCACCGAACCCGAAAAGTACCTGAATGTTATGTGTGTTTTTGCATTCATTTTCACGATTTACGTAGCAATTCGACGGACATTACAGGTGATTTATTCGTCGAAGAGTTACCTGCGGAGCTGGGAGAATTACATGAATTCTCTGTTCACCTTTTTGATTGTGGTATTTTTGATGGTATTCGTGATCTCCGTACCTTGGAACCTTCACAGTCCAACGCTGGCTGCAATTTGCATCATCATGATAACGTACGAATTCTTCACCTTGGCCGGCACTTTTTGGCACTTCTCAATCTACTCCGAAATGTTTATCGTCGTCTTGAAAAATGCCATCAAAAGTTTGCAATTGTATGCGATTTTTTTACCGGCATTTTCCCTGCTCTTTTATATTCTACTGAGAGATTCAACGGCCAAAGTAAATGATGGACCAAATTTAAACAAATTTCCAACACTCAGCGCTTCCATTGTCAAAACCATTGTGATGTCCGTCGGAGAATTTGACGTTATAAATGTGAATTTTGATGTGAACACCATCAGTATTTATATTTTCGTTGGGTTTCTCTTTCTGATTTCAACGGTTTTTATGAACCTGATGAACGGTCTTGCCGTTAGCGACACACAGAAAATCCAGTCCAAAGCACGATTGACCAGCTTCAAGCGAAGGAGCCAAGTCTTAGCTCGATATGAGGAAATTTTGACACATCAAAATCACTGGTTTCGGTATGCGATATTTTCTTTTGAATTTTTTTTAAGTTTTGAATTTTTTTCTTGAAGTTTTTTTCATCTTATAATTTATCATTAGTTTCAAAGGGAGCATTTGATGTTATTTGTTGTCTATTTGAGTTAATGATTTAATTTTCATCGTCTTTTTTGCTCTAACTCTAGTGACAAATATCCGAAATTATGGAAAATCACGCGGTTTTTCACCCACATCAACACCTTTGTCTACCGTGACAAGAGAATCTATGTGGAACTGGACGACGAAAACACCGTTTACTCGGTCAAAGTGATGCCTTCAAACATTGTTTGCTTGAGGGTACCCCTGAGAAGTTGGCTGAGGTTTCGATGGGCAAGAATGGGCCAGACAATTATACAAAATGCACTTGAAATCCGTGAAAAACAGGAAGTGGAAAAGCGTCGCGTGAGTCGTAAGGAATTCGGAGAAAATAGCCAGGAAAGCCTCCTAAACAGAATCACGGAAATTGAAAACACTCTGAAAACCATAGACACCGACCTCAAAACAATTATGGAAAAGTTGAGTGAAAAGTGAAATTGAAATTGAGCCAAAAGATACCAAATATTTGAACTGAAAATTGTGAATATTTTCAAAATTGAAAAATTGAACAAACATCTTAGTTCATCTTTTGCAAAGCAACTAAAATTCAAAACTAGAATAAAATGTAAATGCATTCAGAATACAAAACTTTCTCAAGGCTACTTATTTATTGTTGAATTAGGCATCAATTGTACTCTAAGGGAGAGACACGAAACTTAAGTGAGTAATTAATTAGAACATTATTATTCAACGATAATAGGAAAAATAGAAGAAATTAGTGAATTTGGTTTGCCAATGGAGATATTTTATTGTTCACAAAATAGTCCCGTTAGGTCTTCCATAAGCGTTGTATTGACAGTGTAATACGCTCTGCAAGCGATTTTACTAGAAAAATTAGAGGACATAAAGCAAAAAATATATAAAATTGAATGTAACTAGACTCTAATAGAATTTGTGTCTCGTCCCTAGATTGTACTTGAATCACTCAATCAGTGTTATTACGAATAAAATTGGAATTTGTTTGGAATTTTTCATTTTTAACATGACATTTTCACATTTTCTATCTAAAGTGAAAGTTTCTACTTCTGCGAAGAAAAAAACGGGTCTTTTAGCATAAAGAAAGAACGGAGAAAATAAGAAAAAGAAGTTTATGTGAAAGATAAGGTGAGTTATTTCAGCTAAGAGGACATTAACCTGTATTGTGCTATCATCATCTTGGCGAATTCCTTTAAACTATTAGCTTATCGGTATGTAACCTATGCTAGATACAATCGATAGCGATATCTCATTCAGCGTTCAATGGTTTCTCTTTCAAACACTGATAAGATCACGGTGTTTATTCCAAATCAAAAGGAAAATATCTATGGATGTGCCCATATCTTCAATGACTTTTTTCCTGCTTGAGCTCAATTGTTTTGGCGCCACTTTCGTTTCTGCTTCCCTCCTTTTTGCTTTGGTACGATTCAAGATTATTCAGCTCACTATTTTGATCGATTTATGCGTCACATTTTTTCGATTGAAAAAAAGTTTTGCAAAGTTTTTATCTTTCAATCCCGAAATATTTTTGATGTTTCTCGAATTGCAAATTGAAATGCCTCGCCACAAATGTTCCATGGATTCTAAACGTTTTTGATTATTGAGTGTTAATATTCATTCATTTATCGCATTCGTTTCAATACTACAGAGTAATTTTCACATCCATTCATCGTTTCGAAGGAAACCATTTTTTTGCATAGTATAAAATCGGGCGTTTTTATGATCACTGTACTCGTGTGAGTAGCAAGCGTAGATACTTAATATGAGGTTAATTTTTGGGTGTTTGCTGTTGAGACACACGAGATTAATAGGTAAATAACAATGTGTTTCACTTTATCACGGAGGACGGTAGTCCGACAAGTGACGCACCATAGACTGTGCATTTCAAACCAAATTAAAAGAATTACATTGGTAATCCCGAACTTTTCCGTACCGTTGGCCTGCGTTGTCCGTTGGTACTTTTGGTTATTTTTTGTGAATTTTCTTGAATAAAGGCAGTGAAAATATAATAATAAAAATAAAGTGAAAAATCGGTCACTTTAACTAAAACTTCGACAATTTTGTATGAGAGGTACCCGTAAACCGATTCCTTTTGGCTTCAAACTTTCTGAGGTTTCATTTTTTGGAGAAAAAATAAGATTCTGAAAGTTTCATGTTGATCGGGCGTTTGCAGAAGTTTGATTTTTTGTCCTCAATTTTTTTCCAAGAAAATGTCGACAAAAATTGAGGACAACAAATCAAACTTTTGCAAATGCGATCAACATGAAACTTCCAGAACCTTATTTTTTCTCCAAAAAATGAAACCTCAGAAAGTTTGAAGCCAATCAGAATCGATGGGTACCTTCCATACAAAATTGTCCAAAAACCGGTAATTTTAGTCAAAATTTCAAAAAATTTGTATGAGAAGTATTATAGCTGCACAGTTAATAATATATTATTAATAATTATTAATACTATATTATTAACTAGGCGGTATTAACAACTGATACGATATTAACATCGCCTGTTAATATCGCTATTACTTACTAGTTAATACCAGTTAATACCGGTATTATCATACTAATATATTATTAACATGCGATGTTAATACCGATAGTATGATCATACTATATTATTATGATTTTCATGATAATATTTTATTAACATCCATGTTAATAATTAAACTGCTCCCGGTTCTGGAAGTGGATCTTCAGGATGGGCCAGGGCATTGCCAAACCGGATCTGGTCCATCCTGTGGGTCCACCAAAACCCACTTCTAGAATCGGGAGCAGTTCTGAACGATCCTTGAGATCCACCAAAACCCACTTCCAGAACACAAGTTCAGTGTAAATGTACATTTATTTACACGAAATGTTAATAATTATTAACATGGATGTTAATAAAATATTATCATGAAAATCATAATAATATAGTATGATCATACCATCCGTATTAACAACTGATACGTTATTAACATCTCCTGTTGATATCGCTATTACTTACTAGTTAATACCAGTTAATACCGGTATTATC